ATTCTTTTTGTGAAATATTGTATAGTTTCACGTAGGAATGCAAATTTGGAACCTTTTCTTAATTGATAGTCAGCACCAACTGACTACAGTAAAGATTATTCCACATGGTGATGTAGCTTTGAGTGAAAGAGCCACTCAAATGGCTTATGCTTAACTTAGCTTTGTGCTGTCTTAGCAGACTTCAGCTCATTTTCAATGCTTGAATGCTGGCAAGCATCCACTAAATGTTAAAAAAAAGTCTTTGTCACAGTGCCCCTTCACTAGCTAAATACCCACAATGCTCTCTACTTGCCAACATAACTGCCTATAGTTGGAGTGACTGCATCTCACCTCGTCCTGGTGGAATAACCATATACTATAGCTGACCAATTGTATATTTTCTAAAATGCATGTCCTTCGTCCTCTGCTTCATCAGTTAACATATTTTTAATTGTTTAAATTAGTACCAACACTTAACAGATTAACTGTTCACGATTAACATCCCAGTTTTCACATCTTCGTCCTTCCAAAAGCATCCTAGCAGGAACGATCACTTAACTGCTCACACAGACAATCTCTGATTATTGATATTCCTCAAAATGTACTATATCACAATATCACAATATATATCAATAATACATGCACTGGGGACACAAACAATTTTGCCCTCATGACCTTATGCTGGTGGTTTCTTGGGAAGAACTCAACCTGCTGGAAAAGTCAGTCATGTGATGGACGTTCTGCCTCCTCATCTAGTCTCTCAGTTTGAACACGAAAGGAAATCTTAATGACTCAGTTCCTGAGTGAAACATGGAGGATGATTCATATCCAGGACTGTTACAGACCGCATAGAGACACTGCAGGTCGAGTCCAGTTGTTGTGTTGTGTAAGCTCGGCGTGGATGACTCTTCTGACAGCTCTTCCTTAGGCTTGACTCAGATATTCAGTGTATCGCTGCTGCTGCCGGGGTGATCTTAGACGAGGATGTTGTCAGCTATCACAGCTGTCTGCTTGATTTTGTCCTGTGTATGTGGGTGAGCTGTTGACTTTCGGAGCGTCATTTTCAAAATGAAATAGCTGCTACTCGGGGGGAAGAAGTGCTCAATGTCTTTGATTCTAAGGTTTTTGGTCTTTGGTTGACAAAAATGTGAAACCTTTCAGCCTTGATCTCCTATGTTTTAGAGGCATTTTAGGGATTTTCAGGATGTCATGTTTTGGAAAAGATCTTGTCACTCTTACTTTCTGCAGGCTGACAAATCCTCATCCTGCGGCTATAGAGAAGTCCATTAAAAACCTCAACTGTTCTGAGTGCTATTAATATTGCAGTCCTCAATTTCTGAATGAGTGATGAGGGAATTGAGGCTGACCCAGATGAGTCTATGAATGAGTGATGAAGGGTTGATAGAAAGTCTCCCAGAGCGAGGACGGACATTCGAAGCAGAGGGAGTCGGTCTTTTAATCTCTGCTTCCAGGAAGAGTCACAGTTTGACACCTCACAGACTGAAACAAAACATCACCTGGCGCACGAACTAACTAACACACCCCAAAGGCAAACACACACAAGAGGTGGCACTTTCTTTGTCCCTGTTCACATTCAAGCATTGAGATGTTATTTAGAAGTGTGCAGACCTGTTTTACTTACCGATTAAATGTTTGAGTCATCAATATTTGCTGCTTTTGTGATGTGAACCGGGAGTTTTTTCTGCTTTATGTCATTACAAACTGGACATTTTAAGGTTTGGACTGTTGGTCTGACAAAAATATCTGGGAAATGGTTTCATTATTAACATTTCATGGATGAAACTCAAATTCATAGGATAGCATGAGTATTAAATAGATGCTTTCATGTGCTAAAAAGCATAAAAACACAGGATCCATTCAGATTATTGCTGATGCTGAAGCCTTGAACTTTACAACATGGCTCACTGTCAGTAATTAACTGACCGGTAATAAGCTGTTATGAAGCATAAATAAAGTGAGTGTTTGGGTTGACAGGTTATGAGCCGACTGCAGTCATTGACAAAGTGTTGTTTTCTTTTTTACAATGAGCTATCAAGCCAGCAGTTAACACAGTCGTTAATTTCTTTTATCCCCTTGAGCCCTGGACTATTTTCTGAAATTTCCACCTCTAAAAAACCTACTTCAGTCAGCAACAGCTTTTAAACAGTGTGGTGGAAATGAACAGCCTTGGGTTCTATGAATAGGAGACTCTTGGAAGTATTTTACAATACAATCAGTCTTCTCAACCTTTTCAGCAGGCCAGAAGTTTGAAGAAGACTAATTCAAACTCTAATCAAAATTGTAATTTAGAATGTGAATAACAGCATTTTGACAGTCAGTCAGTGACACTGATGTTTCTGAAGTGGTTCTAAAAATGCTCAGCGACAGCTCTGCATCCATTTCAGTCAGACTAGCGCCAGGCTGCCTCTTCCGCTCCACAACCTTTAATAAATGGCAGCAGGTTGTGTTTTAGTAGCATGCTTCTGGTACAGTGATGCTCAGAGTGGAAAGAGCTAACTTTAAGTGACATCATATGCAGCCTTTATTTATCATGAAGAGTTTATTTTTATTATCAGTTTGTTGTTTTTTGTTCAAACAAATCCAAAGATGGTTAATTAGCAGAGATACAAAGAAGGAAACAAATGCAAATTATCACCATCATCTGTAAAGCTGAAACCAGCAAATGTTTGGCATTTTTTACTTGGTGAACGTTGTAAATTACAGATATGTTATTTTCATTGTTGTCCATTTATAGTTAGTCAGCTAACAGGTTCACAGTGGCTCCTCTGACTGGTCACACAAAGCTCAGTAGTCACCTTTTAACAGGAAGTTCCCTAAAGTCTGATGTTAGTATTGTCATCTCAGATCTGTCCAGTGACTTTTTATGTGTTTATTTATTTGTATTGTGTTGTTGGATCCAGTGTTTGTGTAGCTCAACTTCATCACTGTCATTTTTCTGCTGCTCTGATGCTGCCCATACCTTTGTTACTCTCTCCAACAACTCAGTGATGATTTAATACTAAATGGGTGGAATAACCCTTGAATCAGTTCATCACTTCAGCTTTACACACATTTTCTTTCATTTTCAACACAACATCCGTTCATGGTCTACCTTGTAAACGTGGTTCAGTTTATTTCAGGAAAAATCTGTTGCAGAAGAAGAAGCGATACCGGTGTCTGTGACAGTGCTAACCTCAGGAGATCTGAGTGCAGCGCAGCTGCAAGAGGTGTTGTTCTTTGACTGAGTGGCTGATTCACTTTTTTTTTCTCAACAGGAAGCTGTCTATTTTGAATTTCTGTTATCAATGGTAACATCGTTGTTTGTCTCTCCAGAATACAAAACCAATGAAGCCTGTTGAGTTGTTCTGTTGAATGTAATAAATCACAGCTCCTGCTCTGTGTCCACTGCACAGCTGACAGGAAGATACTCG